TTCGAACTTTGTAATTTGAACAACTTACTTTGAGGATGTGAGGCGACTTCCCTATCTTGCTGCACTCTCCATTCTCATTAATTCTAAGGACATTGGAACAATTACACTATCTGCTCTAAAGGACTTACCAACCAGCGAACGAATTCATCTGTGCTTACGCACGCAGGTTTGTCATTATCCAGAGAAGGAAAAGTTGTTTATATATACCGACTGGAAATGATGTCGCAGAGAAATCTGCATAAGTTGTAGAATATTGTACAGAAATTTAGTCTTAAATTTGACATCATTTGTCAAGATTTTCTTTATGATTCATCCAATTTTCTTTCTTAGACAATGTGCTATATCATTACCTTAGTTTTGAATATCGCGGCCGTTTTTTGTACCTTTCTTTATGTCAGTCGTTTTGAACATAACTGTTAACACAGTTCTCCGCGTAGTTCTTTTCCAGATGACTGATCTTCTTGTATCGCATTTTTCTTCTTTCTGCGTTCGGTGCACAGAGGAACAAATGATGGTTTTTACAGAATTTTTGATATGGCAAAGCATTGAGGATAACAATGTACGTTTACGAGCGAGGTTATGTATGATTTGAGCATTTAAGCAATGTCTGTATTATAGATTTCATTAGTAAGCGATAGGCTGCAGAGCTCTTCAAAAGTTCTGGCTGATAACATATTATGCTGTCGTTTCATCGCGGACGCAATCATCCATTTGGCTGTTGACCAGTTTTTGGCCAGGGTAGGAGTTTTATAGATCTTCTATGTTGAAAAATATATTTCTTCTAGAGCTCAGAGCTTGACTCGTCTTTTATTTCTACTCTCGATGCTTTTCGCCGTTTACAGTTCTCAACAGTAGGAGAACTAAGGTTCATATAGGGGCCACCTATGATTTTCTCGAAATTTTATTCCATCTTCGCATCACCGCTGTTTTTAGCGATGTTGACGTTTCAAAAAACGCCGCTTCTTTTCTGGATAAGCTTTTCAGACAAAAATGGGCTACAAATGGAGTAAGTGCACATTTAATTTGTAGCTTTTCCAATTCGAACATTTTAGGTATCCTTTCCAGCAATGAATTCCTTATTGATCCTTTATTGTGATCTTCCCCTTTATTCCACACCTGCATTTTGTAGATACAAGTATTTGGTGAGTTAGATGTACTTGCAAATTTTACAATATCATATGATGGCTTTTAAAGAGATACTCAAATTTGTATCTCCTGTGCTTTTAATAGATTAGACGGATTGAATTTTATTTAGGCAGCTACAGCGTTCTTTCTAATAACCTTTAGTGACAATGACAGCAATGTGTTTGAAGCATGTATGGAAATAATGGAAAAACTTTCAAGGTATAACGTGAGGGAAACTTTTTTTAAATTAAAGTGCTATGATTGAAGTTATTGGAAGCCACTAACAAAAATTTTCAGAAGCGTTTGTACTTTGTCACTGGAACCCACTGTTGTAGGGGATTTTTTTACCCATCGGCTGGCTTTCCTTGAGGTTTAAGCTTTTTACCACATTTTTTTTTGTTTCTTCATCTAAATCACTTTAGAAACTGCCATCTGCTGGTCAGGCCTGGAGAAAAGTAGCGAATGCGTGGAGTGCAGTCATTGCAATCTGTAATCACAATTTAAACGAAGATTGTAAGTTTTCAGTTTCATATATAGAAAAATTCAACATATGTTGATTTAGCAATAAATCGACTTTGCCCTGCTTTGAGTTTTACTGAAATTTCTGCCACTGACTGCTGGACATGGGAACAGGTTATCAGGTCTCTTAAATATTTCCTATCCGATACTTTGGCTTGCTTTCTGAACGTTTTCGAACTTTATATCATGACCGATCTCTACGCTACAACGCAAATCGTAAATAAAAGCAAAACACAATTGTGAGACAAAAGCAGAATGTACTATTCGCTAAAGGCTCAGTAGTAATGTCAACATAACTAAAACTTAAATAAGGCCGTATGACAAGATTTTATACCAGTTAATTGCCCAAGTTTTCAGATGAGCCGTTCCTTATGTGAACTTGTGCGATTCAAGTCTTATGAAATATATAAGCCATGTGACTAGAAGCTTTTCCTTCTATCTTTGTTTTTCACTTCCACAAATCTCCTTTGCTTTTCATACTCTTTTGGCGTTGTTCTAGATTATCCGTTTTGTTCAAATCAACGAAGTGGGAAGAATTGTTAGGTAGTGATGAAGAACAAATTATTGGAGTCTTAGAGAAGGTGAACCTTTTTGAACATCATTCCACTTTCATTAAGCACTGACACAGATTCATCTATACTTTTCTGCGATGCTATCATATGTTAACTGGAAGGACAATAACATAGTACAACACTATTCGGGGCGGTGGTCCGTACTGTTCTTATGCTGGGACGATGTTCCTAGAAATGTGCGATCTTCACTGATGAAAAAATTTTTTGACAAAAAAGATGTGAAAATTTTGAGAAGGTATGTTATTTCGGTGCCAAAGTTCATTCGATGATCCAGTCAAAGAAAATTAATACTTCTTTAGGCTAACGAACTGCATGATTGACAGAAAACTCAAAGTTGATAAAATAACTTTGCAAAGTGCTCTTAATTTTCATCTGAAATATATCCCTATGCTATCTGGACGCTCCTTGGAAGATTTGGATTGGAAATCATTGATTTGTTTACAGCGCGCTGGTGTTTCCGCTGATGGTGCGCTTACCCAACTGCCAGCGGAGAAAGTGGGTTTGCTTGTAAAGTGTCTTTCCTATCGTGTTGAATAAGTTCGGACCGTTTTCGTACTCAGATTGCAAAAAAAAAAA